TTACATATAATAAAGATAAACGTGTAGATATATTGTTATTTATATCTTGTCGGAGCGGATTCTGTTGCTGTGCTGTTGGGACCATGTTCACAAAACATCCAACACTGGAGCAGCAAACTAGTTCTCTGGTTGTTATCATCCATCTATCAGCTTTATCTGCTTTATGCTCCACAGGGATGCAGCCAGACGGCTTCTCCTCCAGTTAAAGGTGGATTGTGTGATTCTAATCTAACACATGTTTCAGGAAACTCCTCGTGGTCCGCTGACTGGGTGTTCATACCCAGGCCTGCCTCTGTACACTGGAAAACAGTCCTCGGGCTTTTATGTAACTCAAACAGAGCGATGCACGTGTTCAGGACAGGTTGAAGGAAAATGCAAGCCGTCAGATTCCAGCTTTAACGGGCTGCAGCTAACTGTCTGGGTTGGCAACTGGTTTAAAAGGCAGAGAGAAAGCCATATGGGACGTTCAGGCGTTGTGTTTCATGCAGCATTTGACAGGCTGCATTCAAACAAAGTGTAAATTAACACATGTAAAGTCAAATTAGGGTAAACCATCACTTCTACTTATTGTTTGTGATTTTTTTTTCTTCAGAAAGAGGACAGGGAAAGTGAGTTAGAGAGTAGATTAGTGTGCTGTAATGGACAGAATCTGTTTATGTATTTAGCCTAAGTTGGACTTGAGTCATCTTGAAGTGTTTGGATGTTACCATGAGGGCTAATTGTGGCTAATTGGCGGCTGTGGCTGGTTGTCCTTCAAGGTCGTCGGTTCTGGTTCAGTGTCCTTGGGCAAGACACTGAACCTGGAGTTGCTCCCGATGACAGCCAATGGCAGCTCTGTCGCCATCAGTGCATGAATGTGTGTGAATGGGTGAATGAGAAACATGTTGTAAAGTGCTTTGAGTGCCACTAAGGTAGAAAGGAGATATATAAGTGCAGACCATTTAGTTCATGCTTTAAAACGTCCGTGCAGACTTTGAAAGCAGCACTTGGTCCTCCAACATGGTGTGCAGCAGTCTGCATTGCTCTTCATAGCACACAAACAAACAGGTGACATTGCGGCTGGATTCGTTGATCATTCCTGAGGTGCATCAAGCACAAAACATTTGCACAGAATTTCTAATAAATCTGGAACTTCCCACTGTTTGTGGGCATCTACGAATCAAAGCGCCTCCAAAGTCCTGCAGCCACGACTTCAATAACGACTCCCTTAATGATGAAATGTGCAGCTTCTCCTCATAACTATTCGTTTTTAGCACCACCACTTAGGTTCCTGTGCTGTCATCCTGTGGCGCATGCAGACGTCCACAAAATGTGCATCACACACTCACTCTGGCAGACTCAGACAGGGAAGCTAACCGGCTTTGTAAACACCCCCACTGACCTTGATCCAGGTCGTACTCCTCCATGGTGCTGACGAAGTGAGGTCTGGAGTAGAAGTTGTGGGGCCCCGGCTGCTGGAGGCCCCCCAGGCTGAAGAGGCTGCGCTCGTTGGAGGCGCAGCAGGAGAAGGCCCTCCGGCTGGGGATGCAGGGGTAGCGCGTCCAGCTCTTGGTCTCCAGGTCGAACGCCTCCAGCGCCGTCACCGGCATCTTTCCCTGACGACCGCCTGGAGGAGACACGGAGAAATCAGAGCGTCACCGTGAACATCTGTGGAAACGATTCGTCCTCTCTTATGGCAGAGACGGGGCATGTACCGTCACACAAATGCAAATCAATCCAGGAATATTAGCATGTACATGAAAATAAAGAGCCGAGGGCGAACACAGATTTTCCGCTTGACGTTACCCTGATTTCCATTTCCTGTTTTATCACTTCTTAATCCCTCACGTAGTTTTCTAACCGGGGCCACATTTCATCCGCCGCACAGCAGCAGGAAGCTTCCCCAGGAGGCCCAGCACTTGTTTACGTCCACAAATCATAACTTAACCTTGTAAAGGGGAAAGTAAAGCGGCGAGAGGGAGCGTGAAGTGGGCAGGAAGCATCTGGACGGCGGAGGAAGGGAAGGAGAGCAGGTCGGCGTGAACAACCTGCTCCTCCGTCGCTCAGGAGACTAAACTGTGACTTGAGTTTCGATTTTTCTTGACATGTTTCTGGCATTTGTGTCCTAAAATTCACCGACTGAGACGGGAGGAGGATCAATAAAGTATTTCTGTTCTTGAGTTCAGTTCTTTCTGCAAAAAAACACTTTTATTTTGAGTTTCTTGCATTTCTGGTTTCATTTCATTGTGGAATAACGTGAAGCAATAATCACACAACACTACTTCATAGAGTACATCTGTGGTGGTACTGAGCTGGTGCTCCAAAAAAAAGTGGAAAAAATAAAATATGAATAAAAAAGACTTTCAAATTACATCATTTTCTGTAGTTGGAGGATTAAAACTATCATCAAAGACTAATTTGATAAAATCAGGAGTCATACTCGTACACGATTTCCCTTTGTGGATCAATAAAGTATTTATTTTCTATTCTGCTCTTCTGGCTCCATTTTTTTTCAACTGAGCTACACATGAGCTTTATGTACATATGAACATAGATATGCATAATAAAGGCGAGGTGTCTTAAGGCGGCATCTCGAACGGGATCACCGGCGGCCATCTTGCCACAGGGCAGCTCTCTGGAGGAACCTGTGGTACGTAAAGGAACTGCACAAACGTAAACACTCTGATCTCGCTGAAATCTTGACGGATTTAGAGACGGTTTGGTTTCATACAAACGTTATTGACGTGGCTACAATTCAAATTACAAAAATACAAATAAAATACAAAATAATTAAAATATAAATTGTTGCTGGCCGTGAGAGTGGCAGCCAGTTGCAGCGGCTCCTACCGACTTTCTTTACACCTCTGACGTTTATAACAAACCAAACCGTTTGAAAATCGGTAGAAAATTGGGCAAGTGATGGTTATTTAAAAAGTACAGGCACCACAACAACACAATGTTATGGGTGAGCGGACTGTACCAAGATGGCCGCCAGCACGGACGACACATCGAGCCTTTATTATACATATCTATGCATGTAAATACGGTGTTTTCATTTTTCCAAATCATCTTAATTTCCAAATAAATCTGGAAGTTTTGTTCACAACCACAACTGTTGTGATTTTTAGTACTTTTTTTTCTGTCTATTTTTCCTTCTTCACTTTGTCAGCTGGTTTATACAGAATGCAACATCAATAGTTAAAAAACAGGAGGACAAAAAAAAGCTCACATGGATCTAAAATTGGGAAAATAATAATAACTCAAGAATCATTCAAGGACATCGAGCGACAGAAGCCTGGTCCGTCCAGACGGAACGAGAAAAGTGTATAAATAAAGTTAAACTTGGTCAAAGACTCTCAAAGTAAATTAGATAGAACAAGAAAATCCAAATACGGGAAAGAACAGAAATAAAAATAGGAGGTAAAATCATAAACACAAGGATGAAACGGATCATTATAGAAATAATAGTAAATAAGCAAAATAAATACATGAATAAGTAAATAAAGGATAAAAAAAAACAATTAGGTGATAAAGATGCAGAAGCAAACCGATAAAAATGGATTTAAAAGAAGACACTGATGGAAAGTCGAAGTGAGGAAACATGACTTCTGTTGCTGATTCTCCTCCTTTCTCTGTTTCTTCTGGTGAATTTCAGAAGAAAACTCAAATCAAAATGAAACCAGAGTCACTATGTTGTCTCTGGAACTCTGAGCTGCAGAACCTTCCTGTGAGGAAGCGAGCGGGTCGGGAAAGAGGAGGTGGAAAAACCGGCAAAGGAAGAAGGAAGACGGAGGAAAGAGGCAAAGCGGGGAGGAGATGAGATGTGGAGGAGTGAAGAAGAAAGTGGAAGCGGGTCAGCTGGCGTGGGCCGGATGGCATCGAGATCGATAGCAGCAGCGAGACAAAGAGTCGAACCGAGTGGGAAGAAACAACGGAGGGCTGAAGGATGCGCTGATTGCAGGAGAACAAGCTGCAGCGGCTTCAGTCCAAACGCTGCTGCAGCTGCTCAGATCTGCACACGATCGGTTCTGCACCAGTCGTCGTGCAAGTTATTAAACACAAGTCAATGCGCACAATCTTTGGTTTAAAGATTTCTGACCATAACATGAGTCTGTTTGGTCTCTTCTTTCCCTCTAATCCTCGTCATCCTGCCTCCAAAGCACCTTAAAACCAAACAGAAGGGACTCATGAGGATGTCAGATGTTTTCTTTTTTTTCTCGTTCTTTTTCTTCGGCTTTGGCGAGTAAAGAAGCCGATCGAGTGTCCGAGGTCGGCAGCAGGATCGTGTGTTTTCTAATACAGAGGCCTTCATGCTTTATTTTAATTCACTGAACAAACACCACGCTGTGTCGGAGGAGACCTGAAAGTCTCGTTCACGTCCAGAAAAGCTCTTCCTGCTAGATGTTAGAAAGCAGGAAGGTTTCAGTCTTCACTCACAGACCTGCCGGCTTCATCCAGCTTTAATAAACAGTCTGTGGTCGTAAAAGTCAAAATATCTCCATGAATCCTGGACGTCTGGATGCTTCTCCCGTGTCAGTGGACGGAACCAGAAGCTAAAGAACACCTCAAACACATTTCTACCAAATTATACCAAACATTTGTTGATCATGTTGCTCTGAGTTTGTTGACGCGTCTGAATCAGAGTTGGTGTTCATCACATCCAGCATTCTGATCCAACAATTAACAAACTGGACCGGTGGTCTAATAAATGTGTTAAGCACTGTACTTATATAGTTTATAATTAGCACTAATTATATAGAAAATGATTCATGTTTTTTAGTATTTTAACGGCATTTAACGGATTAAAATCTTGAAAATAACTGGATTGTTGGTAGTTGTGACCAGACCTGATGTTGGTTAAAAGAACTCAGCCAAAGAGGAAAATAATATTATTATAATATGATGTTTTTATTGGAGTTTTTATTTTGACAAGGACATTTTAGCCCCTGAAGACCTCTGTGTGACTTTTTATAATTGACTTCTGAAGCTCTGACTAAAGAAAACAAGTAAATAAACCATCAGAACCATTATTTAGTCTGGACCGGGTATCACCAGCCTCCATGTGTCGGGTCAGAGTGTTGCTCAGGTGGAGGTGTGGTGAGTTTTTAGACTGTGAAGGTCGTCTTGTGAAGGAAACCCCCACCGGGGCGTCGACAGGAGGCCCAGGTGGCTGCAGACCGGCGCCTCAGGAGGCAACGGAGGGTGATGGAGCTCCGCTATCGAGGAAGACGACGGGCTGTTCTGAACCAGGAAGAGAGCCACGTTGGAGATGGTTCATCACACTGACCTTTGTGTCTTTGTTGTGTTTATTTTTTCATGTCTGTTTCCATCTGATGCAATTAAAAGCAACTACAGCCAAACTATGTTCTCGCTGCTATTTTTTAAAGCAATAAAAAGGGAACTGGCCCTGCAGGACTGAAGCACTGCAGCTCTGCAACAAGTGGGTTGAAAAATCCCCCATAACGGCTGAATCGCTGTGCATTTATTTGCACTGAGCTTTTCCCACGTCGGCTCCAAGCAGCTGCCAACAGTTGGACGGCGCCCAAGAAGTCCAAGAAGGAGAGCAGGCGAGCTGCTGGTCTGTGTTCCTGCACGGACCGACGCTTGTGTTAACAAGAAGTCATCAGCGCTCCCTGTGAGGCTGAGATGGTGGAAACACTGGAGACCATCACGGATGTACACAAGTTTATTAATAACAACGACAATGAGGGGGTTTGTCTTTGTGGTGGTTTAGATTCCTTTCAGCTGCAGAATCTTGACATTCTCTTATGCAAGAACATGCAAAAGACGCCGCCTGTTTACGCTCGTGTCTTTTTGATCGTGTCTGACTCGCCGACAGCTCGCTCATGTGCTGATTGCAGCCCTGACACTGCTGCTAAACCTTTGATTCAACACACACACACACACACAGAAGAGTTTGAAAGCAGCCTGATGAGTTACGTCATCCGCTGTTGACACGCAGGATCCAAATCAAAGGGGGGTTCTGGCGGCCGCTGATCCGAACGCAGCCTGGAGCGGCGCAGCAGCTGAACAAGCAGCGTGAAAGTGAAACTTGTGAGATGCTGCAAATAAGCTGGCGTCGCATTCAGAGGCAGATAATGACCTGGATGTGCAGTTATGAGAGGAGGATATCACATCATTGTCTCTGCGTATCGCTCATACGTCCGTGCATAATGTGATTGAAGATGTTGGTGTGTTGGGCCCATGAGGCGGACCGGCCGTCCCTCCCCGTCCCGGCCATCATTAGCTCCACCAAGACGAATTAGCTCGCCGGTCTGCACAGAAGTTATGGATGTTTTATTTTGAGGGTCTTTTTTTTTCTTCCCTATTTTCGTTTTAATCTATTTCACAGCTTGCTCCAGAGAAGAAATCTATTTTCTCTTTCACTGACTCCGCCGATAATGTCTCACACGTATCGCTGTCCGGCGCATCAAGCTAAAGCTCGGCGCCGTCGGGAACTCAGTCGAAGCGGCGCTCGGCAGACACTTTAAAAACTTTTTTTAATCTTTGTGGTGTCAGAGCCTGTGAGATGTTCGCTTTGTGGTTCAGAGAAGTTGGAAAAGCAGCACTGAAACATCGCAGGCAGGGCGAGACAGGTGTGATTACACAAATTGCAATGTGCTAAAA